CTTACATTGCCTTACATTACCTTCCATTACATTACATTACTTTAAATTACATACATACATACATACATTACATACATACATTCATTACGTACATACATACATGACATACATACAGTATATACATGCATACATACATACATAAATTACATACATACATGCATACATACATACATACATATATTACATTACATTACATTACATTACATTACATTACATTACATTACATACATACATTACATTGCATTGCATTACGTTACGTTACATTACATTACATACATGACATTACATTACATTACATTACATACATTACATTACTTTACATTACTTTACATTACATTACATTACATTACATACATACATACATACATTGCATTACATGGCATTACATTACATACATACATCAGTACATACATTACATACATGCATACATACATACATACAATACCTTACATTACCTTACATTACCTTCCATTACACTACGTTACTTTACATTACATACATACGTACATTACATACATACATACATTACATACATACATTCCATTACATTACATTACATTACATCACATCACATCACATCACATTACATTACATTACATTACATTATATTACATTACATTACATTACATTACATACATACATGCATACATTACATACATACATGACATGACATTACATTACATTACTTTAAATTACATTACATTGCATTACATTACATACATGCAATACATGCAATACATACAATACATACATTACATACATTACATACATACATACATACATTACATACATACATACATACATACATACATACATACATACATACATACATACATACATACATTACATACATACATACATACATACATACATACATTACATACACACATACATTACATTACATAACATAACATAACATTACATTACATTACATTACATTACATTACATACAAACATACATACATTACATACATACATACATACATACATACATACATACATACATACATACATACATACATACATTACATACGTACATACATACATACATACATACATAACATACATACATACATACATACATACATACATACATACATACATACATACATACATACATACATACATACATACATACAATACATACATACATTACATACATACATACATACATACATACATACATACATACATACATACATACATACATACATACATACATACATACATACATACATACATACATACATACATACATACAATCTCGCACATACATACATACATACATACATACATACATACATACATACATACATACATACATACATACATACATACATACATACATACATACATACATACATACATACATACACATATACATACAACATACGTACATACATACATACATTACATACATACATACATACATTACATACATACATACATACATGCATACATACATACATACATACATGCACTACATACATACCTACATACGTACATACACACATACATTACATACATACATACATACATACATACGTACATACATACATACATGCATACATACATACATACATACTGACTTACTTACTTGCTTACATTACATACATACATACATACATACATACATACATACATACATACATACATACATACATACATACATTACATACATACATACATACATACATACATACATACATACATACATACATACATACATACATACATACATACATACATACATATACATACAGATACATACAGATACATACAGATACATACATACATACATACATACATACATACATACATACATACATTACATACATACATTACATTACATTACATTACATTACATTACATTACATTACATTACATTACATTACATTACGTTACATTACATTACATTACATTACATTACATTACATTACATTACATTACATTACATTACATTACATTACATTACATTACATTACATTACATTACATTACATTACATTACGTTACGTTACGTTACATTACATTACATTACATTACATTACATTACATTACATTACATTACATTACATTACATTACATACAAACATACATACATGCATTCCATTACATTACATTACATTACATTACATTACATTACATTACATTACATTACATTACATTACATTACATTACATACATACATACATACATACATACATACATTACATACATATATCTATACATACATACATACATACATACATACATACATACATACATACATACATACATACATACATACATACATACATACGTTACATTACATACATACATACATACATACATACATACATACATACATACATACATACATACATACATACATACATACAAAAATACATACATACATACATACATACATACATACATACATACATACATACATACATACATACATACATACATACATACATACATACATACATACATACATACATACATACATACATACATACATACATACATACATAACATGCATACATACATACATACATACATACATACATACATACATACATACATACATACATACATACATACATACATACATACATACATAGATACATACATACATACATACATTACATACATTACATACATACATACATACATACATACATACATACATACATACATACATACATACATACATACATGCAATACATACATACATACATACATACATACATACATACATACATACATACATACATACATACATTACATACATTACATACATACATACATACATACATACATACATACATACATACATACATACATACATACATACATACATACGTTACATACATACATACATACATACATACATACATACATACATACATACATACATACATACATACATACATACATACATTACATACATACATGCATACATATATACATACATACATACATACATACATACATACATACATACATACATACATACATACATACATACATACATACATAACATACATTACATTACATTACATTACATTACATTACATTACATTACATTACATTACATTACATTACATTACATTACATTACATTACATTACATTCATACATACATACATACATACATACATACATACATTACATACATACATACATACATACATACATACATACATACATACATTACATACATACATACATACATACACACATACATACATACATACATACATAACATACATACATACATACATACATACATACATACGTGCATACATACATACATACATTACATACATTACATACATTACATGCATACATACATACATACATTACATACATACATACATACATACATACATACATACATACATACATACATACATACATACATACATACATACATACATTACATACATACATACATACATACATACATACATACATACATACATACATACATACATACATACATACATACATACATACATACATACATACATACATACATGCATGCATGCATGCATGCATTACATACATACATACATACATACATTACATACATACATACATACATACATTACATACATACATACATTACATTACATTACATTACATTACATTCCATTACATTACATTATATTACGTTACGTTACGTTAAATTACATTGCATTACATACATGACATTACATTACATTACATTACATACATACATACATACATTCCATTACATTACATACATACATGACATGACATTACATGACATTACATGACATTACATGACATTACATTACATGACATTACATGACATTACATTACATACATACATGACATTACATTACATTACATTAAATTACATTACATTACATTACATTACAAAACATTACATTACATTGCATTGCGTTACATTACATTACATTACATCACATTACATTTCATACATACATACATACTTACATACATTCCGTACTTACATACATTACATACATACATTACATACATACATTACATACATACATTACATACATACATACATACACACACAATATCAGCATTGTGAAAGCTCGCTTTGGTGAGAAATAGGCGTTCTGGGAAACACAACATATTTTCCATGTTGCGTGTTTTTGGAAAATCAGAACAAAGTTTCTATACCACACCAGATTTAGAGCTTTCCTATCTTGGACAGCTGTTCTATCTTAGCCTTAGATATGTCCTATCTTCGGCTGATAGTGTTTCTGTCTTAGGCTTAGAGGTCCTATCTTAGACTTAGAGTTTGTTTGTCTTGGAGGGCGAAGTTGCAGGGAGCAGGCAGGTCGGTGGGGCCACAGGCAGGCGGGCGGGCCGCGCAGGAGTGCGGATGGAAACTGAAAATCTAACGCCTTCCTCTCGGGAAACAAAAGCACTAAGCGAATACACCCATCGAGAATATCTAAGGGCTGATAGATCAGGGGGCAATATAACTTCATGCTATGAATGAGAACGTAAGCTTTGCGAAGCAAAGAACGTATATTTTATAACATACAGTGTGATTACTGGCCATCAAGATGTGCTCACAGCTCAAGCAACCTGTCAACAAGGACCTGCGTTTATCCAAATGCAACGGCAGAGGTGCAATGGTATATCCTTTGCCACCCGCAGACCCCATGACACATGATTAGATGGGAGGAAACGTGTGCCACAATGTTCAACCCGACAGCCTGCCCGAGGGTCCATTCACTTTCTTGGGGAGCAAGCTGAATCTTAAAAACATGTTTGCTTCAAGAAAGACCACCTGGGTCACCAACAGCATGTAATGATCGGAAGATCCCACAAGGGTCTCAGAAATACGTTCCTTGTTGGAAACTGAAGGGGCTCACTACTGATCTGTCAGACTTCTCTTGACTTCAAAAATCGGATCACATCAAAGAAAAAAGCATTGCCAAGTTTGGTTCCTGAGTCCGATGACCAATCGACCCGCGATCGATCCAACTGCACGCCAAGCTTCCACTGCAGTCCCTTAGAGCCAGCAAGTAGAGCATCACTTGAAGGAAAACTATTCAACAAAATGAACGTTCAAGGATAAGCATCTACCCTTCCACTAAACGGTGGATTACACAACCCCCTTGTGGCAGATTGCGCTCCTGTCCAAAGAGGGCGATTTCCACATAAGAAATCTCAAAAGGGGGCTCGCCCCGTTGAAGAATGCTTGAAGGGAAAATGTCATTTTCAGGGTTCCGAAGAACCTAGGTATAATTTTGGGTAAGGGAAACCAGAGAAACACCTTGAACAAGTGGTCTACCTTCGGGCTATATTTCGGCTGAGCAACCGATTTAGTTTGGGCCCGAGAGAATGCTCGAGCAACCTTACGACCTGCACGTATGCGATGCGAACTGGACGCGAGCGGTACCCAAGGTGGAGAAGTTGCTAGGTCTGGTAATCAAATGGGCCCTTCATCAAACTGCGATCGCCTGGTTGGCGAGCATGCTTGAATAACCAGTTACCACTATTGTAGGTAACCAGAGTTTCTTACCTTTAGGTACTTCACGGTTTCCCTGGTTACTTTCAACTGAGTTCCCAAGTCGAGGTTTGGGTTTGAACCGCCACGAGGGAGCTCCTAAACAGACCTGCTTATTTGAGCCAGTCTTGCCCAACATAAAATTATACTTTCCTCCGCGAGGCCTAGCGGGGGGGTGGTCTACCTGTGGCCTCTTGCAGAGCATTTATTAGATGCGTTTTCAAAATAGGGACCCCTACATTTGGTTGGTGTCCTTCTGGTGTTTCTTGAAGCCACTCACTTTAGGAGATCCTCTTCAGCAAAGCAAAAGTAGGGCACCCCTGGGTTTGAAAAGCAAACGAGAAAGCCAAACATTCGGACCGGAGAAATCGGTGCCATCAGGTTTCAACCTGTCAGTCGCAATCTTCCATGGCACTAGGCCAGGGGCGGTATGCTACCTGCCTAGCCCTCCTTGAAAAAACCATTTTACAGAGGGCCGCTGGAATTGCCCAAACCTCCCCGGGAAAGAAATCCATGAGCAAACAGGCACCGATTTTTCGGAAGATGTCAAAGGGTGATCCCCTCCAAACGAACACAATTGCACCGGTCTGGGTTGAGGCAAATTTCGCGTGTGAGGCAGGCACTGCCACCGCAGGCCCTCTGAAGATCCATAAGGCTGCCAAAGCCGTGTGATGAACCTGGCGGCCAGGTGGAAACGTCAAAATCAGCTGGTACCCTGTTTTGGTCGGAGAAGGGCCTAGTACTCATACTCTTTTGCGGAGCCAACCAATTAAATGTCTAAAACGTTCTTAGGTGTTGCGAACATGCATTTTACAAAGGCCGCTTTCCCCGCGGGGCTTGTGTTGGCGACGCATGCATGTTTCATTATATCTCTCCGTCTATCTCTGCATGCCTTGCGTCTCAGTGTGCCTTTGGCTTTCCTCTGCGCACCTCATTCGTCCAGGCCTGAACATGTGATGCCGCAACCCTAGGCAAATTAAGCAAGCACCATGGCTGGAGGTATGGAACTGTCGATTCAAGTTTCGTGGGTGGATCTCGTCAGGCATAGCAGGGCTTCTTGTCTGAGCAACCAAGCGAGCGGTTTTCGGCGCCCTTGATCTCTGGATTCTGTAAACTGTGCAAAGCTTAACAAGCCTTGGGGGTCTCCGCACCCGAGTGCAAATTGGGTTTCATTTCGAGCTTGCCCAGTCGCAAAGAAAAGGCCCACACCTTCAATGTCCCAGTTGCAACTAGCCCTGGAAGAAAAAGGCGTCCTATTGGTGAAAACCATCTTCAGTGGCAACCCACTACACACAAAGAGAGACTGAGAGGGTGCCAGGGATGTACAAGCCAGCAGAACCCTGCAAAAAGTGGTCTTCCAAGCGCAAGTTGGGAAATGAATTTACAGAGCCACCAAGAAGTGACTGGACAATGACCACCAAACGGGCTTCCCAGCTATTTGCTATTATTTGCTCTGGACAAACCTGCTTCAACTTGACTCAGGCCAGGGGTCAGTTCTTTGGTTCGGCCTCAGCACAGACATACCCTGGCAAAGGGTCGCGGGCGGGAAATTCAACATATGGACTCAAATCATTAAATGACCGTGGGTCAAAAAAAGGGTACCCAAAATGGAACCTTGATAAAAGTAACCAAGGACTAAAACACCTGCGGTCCCCTGGCTAAATTTTGACCCATACCCAAATGGCGTTTGCCTGGGATCTGACATCCACCGTCCGGAAACAGAGACCACCACCAGGCCTTGGAAGCTCTTCGTCTCCGCCTCAGCCTATCGGGCGATGAGGGAAGCACCAAGCGCGTCGCGCACACATGGGCGTTTCTGAAAAACAGGAGTCCCTTTTTCGGATGGTTGCAAATGGAAACCAAAAGGAGACAAACCACCTAAAGCGTCCCGGAACTTTGAGAAGCGCTCAAATGTGTTGCAAGACATGTGTCAGTTACAAGAAGAATGATCATATGAATTGATCTACTCCGATTCACACAAGTGTGAGGATGGCATGTTGGCTGTTGAACCATCCAATGATTTTTCCCTACTCAGGGAGATTACAGTAAGGTCCCTGCATTCGGTCAAGCCGGAGTGATGACTCTCTGAAAGCTCGGCGGATCACCATCATCTTCCTTTGGCCAAAGGCGATGCTTTTTTTAAGTTTCTCCAGCCGGGCGGTTAGCAGTAGCCGCGCACATGCCACATCCACAGCAACCAGCCACGGGAAGACGCGGCCCTGGGTGGAAGTTGACTTGGGTGAAGCCCCACTCAAAAGCAAAAAGCGTTGGGGAGGGGGTGCTAAAAAACGCACGGACTTGTCCACTTGGTCCACTTGGTCCACTTGGTCCACTTGGTGGGAAAAGACTAGCAACCCGCATCTGAAGCACTTGGGCCAGACTTCGGCTGCTTCAAGGAAAATCAACATAAAATGCAAAAAAATAGGCATGTGAAGTCTGGCATTTCTCCTTCCCGAGTCGAATCCCGCATCCGCCTCGGCTTCACCGACAGCCTCGGCCGGCATGTGTATATATATATATATCCCCGTCTGTCAATACGGGCTGTGCGTTTTGAGGGTGTGTTTTGTTGGTTGGTTGGTTGGGAAACCAAAATGAATCCAGGGGCACCATACTTTAACACATGCCCATCTGGAACCCACCCTTTGAGCAAATGCTCTTGGAAATCCGGTTAGTTTCTATGTTAGTGGATGGGAAGGTTTCCACTTGGAGGGAGTGTCAAATATCTGGGTGCAGTACAAGAGCTCATCAACAAACAGGACACTAACGCATGGCAAATGATGAGGATTGTCCAACGTTCAAAGTTCAACTGCATCGAATTGTTCCCAACCTTGTAAGTAGTTGAGAAACAAGGCACCCAAACAGGAGGCCAATGGGGAGCCAAGTGGCCCATTTTACCAAAGATGCGTAAATTCTGCCTTCGTTCTTGGCGCTTGGGCTGTGACGGCTATGTTTGTCAAGTCTGGACCCTTGAAGTCTTGGGACATCCTACATGCGTGACTTGCCCTTGGAAGACCATTTTTTGCAGGGACCTTCTGTTGGCTTGCAACATCCCTGGCACCCTCTCAATCTCTCTTTGTTTGGTGGCTTGCCACTGAAGATGGTTTTCCCCCAGTAGGGTGCCTGTTTCTTTCAGGGCTAGTTGCAACTGGGACGTTGAAAATGTGGGCCGTTTCATTGAAATGAGACTCAATTTGCACTCGGGTGCCTCAATTTGTCTTTTCGAGGCACTTCGGTGTCCCAATTTGTCCCTTCGAGGCTTTTTAGACCTGGGCCACTCTTCTACACACCTCTGGCTGTACTTTCCTTTGGAGGTAGCTTGCACAAGGAGCCTTTTACTTTGTGGCGGGGTTCCCTAAAATATTACGCAACAGCACAGCTGTTAACTGCGTTGATGCTTCCCGTCTGCCGGGAAAGGAAGTCCCGAGCCTTCGAAAAGCGCAATTCTTCGGTTTTTGCGTGCGATAACCAGTAGCAACTCATCCACGCGCATTTGGAGGATTGACCCTTTTGGAGTATTTTCGGCTCTGGGATTCGATGGAGCCCTTGCATCGGTCGCGTTTTCTTCCGGAAGCTGCTTTCTGAAAAAGCCGCTTACCTTCTTGACGAACTCTTCCGAGCCCGTGTTCCTTTCAGGGTCCCAGGGTAGAACGCGGGGGCCAGTACAAAACTGCGATAACTGGTCTGGGATCCGAACCAAAAAGACCCTTTCTCCCCCTTGTCCTTTATCCATGGTGCCTTGTTTTTTGTGCAAAATCTCGCCCCAAATATTATCTCTCTTATCTGACTCCAAATCTTTCGGCCACACACACACACACACGCTGGCGCACACGCATCCACCCACACCCACCCGCCTGCACTCACGCACTCGCCTGCATGCACGCACCCACCCACCGCGCCCACACACACACACACACACCACGTAGTGGTCTATGCATATGCAGGATTTTGGGAATTGCCTGCTTCTGCGGTACCAACAAGAGGATATGCTGGTAATACAACCCCGTAACATACCGCTTTCTCCTGACAGAGAAGGCACCACCTCCATTTTGGGGCGGTGTTCCATTTAAACACGAGTACAATGACAAAAACACACCCGCTTGGTTCCCGGCTCTGCCCTGGCGGCGCTTGGCGCGTTCTCGGCTCTTCTTGCCAGGCCGCTGCGGCCTGCGCGTTTCGGACGCAGCTTCGACTTGCTGGTGCTCAGTAGAATTTGTTCAAGGGTTGGAATGAACCGTTGGGACCCTTAAGCTAAGGACGTTTTTTTGGTTGGGGGGTCATTCTCTCATTTCCAACCGGCAAGCTGAGGGGCTGAAACCAGTTTCAAACCTTTTTCGAGGCCATCGAAACAAGGAACCTGAAACGTGGCATGAAAGAAAGCAAGTAGAAAACCAAAAAAGCAGGACCCTAGCTTTGACAAATCCAAATGGAACGACATGGCTCAAACCTTTTGCAGTTTGCAGCTCAGAAACCAAGATCGCCGCATCATGGCGCCACACGATGAAGATCATTCATGGATGGATTGCGTGCATTCATGAAAATCCTCAGCAAGTCTAGAAACTCCATGATCGACTGAGAAAACGAACATGTTCTTTGACCTGACTGGAAGCGACCCCTTATGATCTTTTCTGTCTGTGTTGCTGTCCGCTGCTGTCCAACATTGCCAGAAGCAACTCATCAAACCTGCGACACTGAACATGTAATTAACGTAACCCATATTCTTCAATGTCAAGAAGTCACCCCCTGAAGACAGTCATGATACAATGCCAGTGTGTATGTAATATGCCTACACGCATACATTTACACGTTTAAAATGTGGTTGCATGTATACATGTATGTATGTGCGTGTACGCAGGGAACGCAATGTAATGTAATGTGGTGCAACGCATTGCAATGCAATGAAATGAAATGCATTGCAATGCTGTTTAAGATAGTGCTATGTGGGTATGTGGGTGTGTGGGTGTGTGGGTGTGTGTCGCATGCAAGCATGTGTTGTATTGTGTTGCAGTGTTGTCTTGTGTTGCATTCTACTGTATTGTGCCAGCAACCTAGAGCGTGATAGAGGTAGTGTAAAGCGTTGTATGGCATAGTGGTATTGTACCGTAGTGTAGCGTGCTGCATCGTATCGTGGTATATTTCTTGCGCTGCATGTGTATGTGTTTTGTGTATATGCGCATGCAAATATATATATATATACATTTAAAAAAGATAGGTATGTGGTCCGCCCACCCCCCCTGTGCGGAACCCTCTTGGGCAATCTTGAAGGCTGGATTTGGGATGCATTTTGCAAACACCCTGCCCGCGCTGTGGAGTGGTTTTAGAGCTTGCTTGCATTTGGTTCGGTCTTGGTTCGTTGGCTTGCTCATCAAAGGAAGTTTAGAAGGAACTTCCATGGTACGCCACTCATTGAAAGCTAGCTCGCTAGCTCGCCGACAGAAGACAAAAGGATCAGCACGCACGAGAACAATGCGCGCGCGAGTGGCGGGGAACAGAAAGCTGCAAAAAGTGTAATTCTTTTGGATGCTTCCAGCGGATCCTGCGGTCGGGGGCACCTCGAGCGAAGTGAAAAACAAAACACGTGTTGTTTGAGGTCGACCGCCCGCAAGTCCACGCAGGGCGGGGCTCTAGCGGAGGACGGGACCGTATATATATATATATATATATGTGTGTGTATTATGGTACTGCTTATAGGTATGCCTGTCATATGTGTATATGTCTATATGCGTATCTGCGCCCATGGGAACATGTGCATTATGTGTGTACGTATGTGTGTGTATATATATATATATATGTGTGTTTATGTACGTTTGCATGCATGTATGCATGTATGCATGTGTATGCATGTGTATGCATGTGTATGCATGTGTATGCATGTGCATGTATGCAAGTATCCAGACATGCCTGCATGTGTGCATGTATCCATGTATGCATGCATGCACATATATACAAAAATATGCGCATGCCTATGACGTGGCGAAACATACCTAGACGACGCATTTCACCTTGGGATTATATATATATATGTATATATATATATGTATACATAGATGTCCTGGGGAGATGATCAATGCACATACACATAATATGCATATGCCAGCTTGCCCAATGCAATTGATCCCTGCATCCAAACAAACCAACGCCTGGTTTGACCCATCCCCTCGCCTGTCATGCTCGTAGTGACAATAAAGGCAGCCCTCTGCCACAGTGCACTTTCCTGGGGCACCACGGCAGCGTGTTGATCGCGGGAAAAACAAAAATCAGCTTGAGGGTTTCATCAATTGTATTTTGTGAATGGCCAAAAATACCAAAACTGAAATCCAGAACACGGCAACCCACTTTCCGAGTCACTGGAATGTGTCTCGTCTCAGTATGACTTCACTCCACTTCAACTTTACGCAAGAAATTCCGTAATTCTGCGGGTGACATGTACTTCCCATCGCTGCACATGTCCCAAATCAACCCATCCAATTGCGGCGGTTGGGAAGAAGGCTGACGTGTCAAACCAGTTTCTGCTGGGTGGGTGCTTTTCCGGCTTCCACTTAGACTTGGAGGACCAAACCTGCAGTTTTTTGCCGGCCCATAGTTGAAATGATAAAAGAGAAATAACGCAATGGTAAGCATAGGCAAACAAGCGAAACAAGCTGCCAAGTCCGGCGATGCTTTGCTCCGGACCCGCGCACGTTTGCCCCCCCTTGGCGCGAAAGAGAGCCGTCCAATCGACTCAGGCAGGCGCCGCGGAGAAAAAAACTGCAAGGTTGGCAGGTGCCGCCTGAGAGCCGTCCGAGGCGCTTTTTGTCCACCAATTGAACATATTCACTTGCAACCAATTGTCCGAAAAGATTAATCTTTCAAGGCTGTTTAAACACGGACTAAACCTGAAAAACCAACAGAGCAAAAGATTGGCTTTGGCAAGTGCAATATATCATGCTGTGCCTCAACCCCAAGCAAAGCGCCCCTGGTCATTGATGCCTCCATGAAACGGGGAACCCTTTTCAGAACTACGGAGAGGCGTAAAATAAGAGAGTCAAGGTCATACTCGATGTATGCTTCCATATGTACACATTCAAAGTGCGTTCGCACCCTAAACCTGAGAGAGGCACACTCAAGCCTGTACCACCTCGGGGCCAACACCTAGACAACGGAAGCGCAGCCAGCCAGCCAGCCAGGCAGCCCGACCGCCTGTGTCTGCCAGTGTGAGGGCACCAACCCAGATACCGCGACAGCACATAAACCAGAATCACCTTTACGACACGCAATCCGCTGGCGTCTAAACCCTTGCCCACACGCAACTTGGACGAAACATACCCAAAGCACCCTCTCAATCACTTTCCAGAAAGGAAACTAAGTTCTGTTAGAGTCCTTATTGAAAATGTGGGTGTGTGGTTGTGGCCGTGCCTGAATTCAGAGTGGGCTCAGGAATCCATGACCGCAAAAGCAGCTAAATCTGGAGGGTATTCCTTCCTCGAAACCAACATTCCAATATGTCATGTGTACACGCGTATTTAACTTTAGGTCTTCTATGATCTGCTGCTGCAGCCATGACTTGTCCAATTGGGAAACCGCTCCTGGCTGCTAATGGCCAAACAAAACAAAGCCTCTAGAAACGGTTCGGATGCGCATTTTGGTTACCTGTTCCCCCACAAAAGCAGCACACCTTATTTCAAGAAAACCGACTCGCCCCAAACTCCAGCCTACATGGAGGCCCATAGTACCATTCACCAAAGCGCCATGTTCAGGGCATCTTTGACAAAATGTTCAGGTTGAATGAAAGCTTTCGGGGCCACTAAACGTCCAAGGGGAAACACTCAGGTCATGGACGATTCTTTCGCTTTATGAGAGCTTTGAGCAGCGAACAACATCGGAGCCCAGCCGCATCATCAAAGTCCCTTGCAAGTTGGTCAAAGCAAATTCCGTTTGATCAGGCGAGCTACCTAGCATAGGACAATAGCGCTTTGGCATCACCGCGGGATACAGGGTTGAATTGTGCCCCCAACATCGCCCAAGGAAACTCTGCTCAAAATTGGCCCAAAAAGGGCAATGATTAAATCCCCCCCTCTGTGCGGAGATTTCAGAATCGCCGAGCCGCTGTGGTGCTTCTCACTGCCCCGGCTAGGATGGACCACGTTCACCGGAAGCCTTCGATTCGATGCCGCTGGTTTTGCCGGAAACGCAACCAGCGATTGCCTTGGAGGTCTTGGATACCGACAGTCTGAGTGGATTTCTTTGAGAGGTCCATGGCCCGGAATCAAGCAAGTGCTAAATGCAAGCAGGAGTTAGTCGCTGGATAAGGCGACCGGCAAAACATTTTGAAACGAAAGAAAGCGACCATGTGCTACTCGTCGCTGTTTAAACCTGGCGCAAAAGCTGCCAAAGAATCCAGACCTCCAGTGGCCCAGGGGAAAAAATTGGCGCCCTGTTGGGCCCTTGCAAGTGGTTGGGTAAGGGAACCTCCCGACCAGAAATTGGAAACGCGGGCGGTCTGGAAGAACACCTCAAAAGAAACGCACCCGGGGGCTTTCGATCCCTTCTCGTGGGCTCCAGGCTTCTCGTTGTTCGAGGAAGACGACCCTGGCACGGGGTCTGTCATGCGATGTGGCATGCCAAGTGCTTTTCCCGCGCTGAGGCATGAGAACATCGAAATGTTGGTGTGTCCTTCTTTGACCCTTGCTTTGTGGCTTCTCAGGAAACCAAAAGGAGAACCACCAATTGGGGGGGTCCCCTAAAATAAGAGATTACAGTAATACAGGGCCCGTGCATCATCAAAGTCACACCACAAGTGGGTGCAGCTTTTGAGGTCTGGGCTAAGCCGACACTTCAGCCAGTCACCCACACGACAATCAAACTTGGCCAGCGGGTGGTTTCCGCGCAAGTGAAGAGGAGACCTTTTGATTTAACGGATGGTGTCCCCTGGTACCCTTCCGTATTTCCATATGGGGGTCATGCGATTGCCAGGTCGGTAATCTAAAATCAAATTTGCGCTTATGGGATCAGTAAACGAAATCCCCCCCGCCCCCGCCCGCCGCGTGCAGCCTACCCGAAAACAGTGTCTGGTTAAAGCGCTTGAGCCCACTCGAGCAAAGGACGACAAATCCAAGGGCTCGATTAATGTCTCCTAAACGCAAAGAATGCAAGTGTCACCCTGGTGAGTCCTCAACAAAAGAAGGATGTTGGCTGAACAGCCCTCAACGTGAGACGGACTATGACACCTTTCTCACAAGCTGAGGGCCTTGCAATTAGCGCGAAGCCTGTACTTCTCAGTGGATCTTGGTCAAAAGTAACCACAATCATCTACGGAAGTTTAGAACAACTTCCACAGTGCTGGCGCTAGGTGAAGGCTAGCTGCCAATTGAAAGTCGATGAGAGCAGAAGGAAAAGAGAGGCGAAAAAAAAAGAACAAAAAAACAAGAAAGGCAAAGAGAAGAGCTGACAAGTGTAGGAGATTGAGGTCGGAACGGCGCCGCGCCCGTTGGCACGGACGCGCGCACTTTCCGCGACATGAGCTTGCGAGACAGACGCCGCACTTTCGCAAGGTCAGCTACAGGTTTCGTGGCAAGCGCAGCACTTTCGCGAGGTCAAGAACGGATTGGTGGCAAGCGCAGCACTTTTGTAAGGTCCGCTACGGATTTTCGGGCAGGCGCAGGGCTTTCGCAAGGCCAGGTACTAGATTTCACGGCAAGCGCAGCACGTTTGCAGCAAGTTCGCAAGGTCAGGTATCTGTTATTAATAGATAGATTGATAGATTGATAAATTCAATGGTTTTAATAATAAATAGACATATAGATGCAAATTCGGAAAGCGAATAGGTAAGAATGGATGGATGGATGGATGGATGGATGGATGGATGGATGGATGGATGGATGGATGGATGGATGGATGGATGGGTAGGTAGATAGGTAGATAGATAAAGAGTTGATAGATAGATAGATAGATAGATAGATAGATAGATAGATAGATAGATAGATAGATAGATAGATAGATAAATAGATAGATAAATAGATAGATAAATAGATAGATAGATGGCTACATGGATGGGTGGATAGATGGATAGATGGATAGATGGATCAGCTAGGTCAGATAAATACATAGATACATACAAAGACGCGTAGGAAGGTAGGTGAACAGATAGAAAAGTAGATGGATAAAGAGATAAGATGGATAGATAGATCGTTGGATCGATAGACACATAGAACGATAGATAGATAGCCACATATAGAGATGAAGGTAGCTAGATAGATAAATAGACAAATACATAAATAAAAGGATAGACTAGATTCGTTCAGAGTAGATTAGATAAGGTAGATAAGATGGACAATAAGGATAAGCTAGATAAGATAAGATAGATAAGATAACATAGAGAAGATAGATAAGGTAGATAGATAGATGGATAGATAGATAGATAAGATAGATAGATAGCTGGATAGGCAGATAGATTGGATTCAATAGATTGGATAGATTAAACAGATTAGATAGATTGGAAAAAAAGAAAAAAAAGATAGAATAGATAGAATGGATAAAATCAAAGGACGTTTAGAAGAAACTTCCGTGGTACGGAAACTTCTGCAGGACAGACACGCTAGAGCGAAAGGGTTCTTGTTTTCTCCTCTGGCCACTCAACAGCTAAGAAGGGTGCCGAGCCACACCAGAGTCATGTGCGGCATAGAGTGCCAGCTTCAACTTGAGCGCCGAAGCAAGCATCAGATGCGAGAAGCTGTCTTCTTTCCGAACGCGTGCCGTTTGCTGGGATGTTGTGGGAGCGAATGTTTCTGGCATGGCATGTTCAAGGAGCAAGGCATCTCCACTGAGACCAGCAACAATGCAAATTCTATAAGTCCCGTGTGTTTTAGAAACTTGCGCCCCCCCCGGCTCTGCCGGCTCTATGTTGGATAGAGTACATGGAGATAGATAGATAGACTAGATAGGGAGATAGATAGATAGATAGATAGATGGATTAGAATAGAATAGATTAGATTAGATTAGATTAGATACATTAGATTAGATAGATACATAGACCGATAGATATATAGATAGAATAGATAGATAGATAGATAGATAGATAGATAGATAGATAGATAGATAGATAGATAGATAGATAGATAGATAGATAGATAGATAGATAGATAGATAAATAGGGACAGACAGACAGACAGACAGACAGACAGACAGACAGACAGACAGACAGACAGACAGACAGACAGACAGACAGATAGATATATAGATAAATACATGCAGAGATAGATAGATAGATAGATAGACAGATAGACAGATAGATAGATAGATGAAATAGATGGATAGACAGATAGAGAGATAGAGAGATATCTACATAGATAGATAGAATTAGATAGCTTAGATAGATTAG